TGTTTATATCTGACAAATAATTTTTTTGGGCTTGCAGTGTTTCCTCTGCACGACTGTAATGAGATCTAACACAGAAGTGATGGAGCATATGGTTAGTCATGTACCACCGCAAGTGCCGGGTCAACCGGAATTGTCGGTATGCCGTTATTGTTGTACCCCGCTATCGTCTCGGCATCAAATGGTTACTCATGTGTCAGAAACACACAGCAATTTCGGACATTCTGATAGCGTCATGGAAGTTTGTGCAATTTGCGAGGAGAAATTTGGTAAGCTAATATTTTCAAATCAACTTATAATCCGTAATTATGTAAGAAGATAAATAAGATGTATAATGCGAGGTAATCACATTTGTACATGTTTCTCGTTCAGGTAAGAGCAAATCATTAATTGATCATTTGTCATTGATGCATTATCCTTCCGAGATGCCGTATCATTGCGAAAGTTGCGGCTATCGAACATCCAGTCATAAGGACGTTATAGATCATTATTATAAAGTTCACGAAAAGGGCGAAGGATTACAATGCCCATATTGTCTTAAAGTAAGAAGAGGAAAATATCACAGATATTCCTATTCCTGTATCAATATAGATTAATACAATTTTTCTATTGTAAAAGGTAATACATTTTGTGAACGAAGGCAAGCCGAACGCATCCAATGTGTACGCTTACTTGACGCATATGCAAAGGCACATCGTAAGAAGGGATCAAGGAAAAGGCAACAAATGTTCAAGATGCTGTCTTTGGTTCAATCAAAAGAGTTCCTTAACATTACATCAGCGGGAATTACACGATCATATTTTTAATTCAAGTATATATAGATATTCAAATGTGTATATATAAATATGTATAGATATTTAAATGTGTGGTTAAATATTTAACGCTGCATGTATAAATTTTTCTTCATTATCAACGAATTAGCAACAATTTAAGCAAAAATTTGATCGTAATTTTACTTATATTTATTTTATATCGATTATATCATTTTTAAAAATATACTTTGAATAACGCTTGTATATTATGTGAAAAGATTGCAATTATCGTTTAATCATAAAATGAATATATACAGAGGCGGTACCATATTCAGCCGGCAACAGTGGCATAATGGTCTCAAAAGACGTACTGGAGACTACACGATTTACTGTAGATAGTCCTCTACCCGAATTACCACCAGATGAAAAAATACAAAAGTGGAGTACTGGACCAATTATGGTGAATACTTCCGTCAGATATTTGTCTTGCCAGGAATGTGAAGAAGATATTGACGAAGATGAACATTATCCGTAAGTATATTATTCTAAAACCAACAATCTTGCGATTAATAACGTAAATTATATAATGCACAGAGGTGAGCAACGATGTCATCAGTGTCGTTATGTTACGTGTTGTTGGCGTGCATTCCAAGAACATCAACAACAAATTCATAATGAAAGACCGAAGACCAGTCTGATCGTGCCATCTCCTTTAGTTAATATCCCGCTAGATAAGAAATTGCAGTGCTTATGCGGGTATACCTCGATTGATGGCAACCAATTAGGTATAATAATTTTGAAAAAAGATGTAACATATATTCGGTATTGTTAATGGAGTTTAATTTCAATTGGTATAATATTACAGCGAGACACTTGATAAAGTGTAAAAAATTATCAGCACGTCCCGTTGATGAATCGACATCTGGTATGCTCAATAGCTTAGGATTAGTTCCAAAAACCGCATCTGAGGTACGATATACTTTTATGTATACTTTTTGTTTTACATTTTTTTTGTGTCTAATCCTTCAAATTAATTATAGGAAGCTGATGAAAAATCCAATCCACGTAATTAAATTCAACAAAAATAAGAAACACGATTGCTTTTATGAAGATCAATATATATAGATATATAAAATTAAGCATAAAGGAGATCTATAACACATGACTTTTTTTATACGATGAAAATATATATTAAATCTGTTCTTGAATCTTCATTTTGATAGCGTTTCGAATAAAAATTTGGTTTTACATATTTAATTAAATAAAAAATATAAATGACGACATAATAATAAACATAGTTCAATTTTAAACTTTAGTTTGAAAATATCGAATTAAAATATGTATTTCATTTGAATTAAACAGGATAAGTTGCAAGATAAGTTATTTTGTATATTAATATTAATAAAATTATGCCAAATTTCAATGTATTGTGGCAATATTTTTTGCACATAAAAATATATAAAACAAATGCCCCGTACATTTACACTTTTGTCTTTTCAGCGATTTGTTTTGATTATACGTTTCGTGCACAAAAGTTTGTATTAAATAAAAACATTTTCGTATTATTCCGCATTTTATTTTATCAGTTAAGGGGATCCTAAAGATCTGTATTACCGACTTAAACACGTATAATTTTTGTATAACGAATACTCTTTTTCTCTTTCACGGATTGGAAAATCCTTTTCCAGGATTAAAGTATATGCATTAATACGTGTTTGTGAAGTAGAGTCTACGCTGAGAATGAATTTAGTAAGCAGTAAAATAACAATATAATGGGTTTTATTAAATGTTTATTTAGTAATTATATTTTCATGAATAAGAAACGTAGCATACATATTCACTTTTTGTATGTGTCTATGTGTGTGTTTATATGTGTATGTATGATCAGAGGTACGAATATATAATACTAACTGACGGGATAAAATGCACGGAATTGTTTAATTTAAAAACTTAAGGCAAATCGACAATTATTTGCGTGAAGTTAACATACAATAGTCCGTCACTCTGTACTTATCTCTATCTATATTCCTAATAAGCTATTAACATTTTTTTCCTACTTTTTCTAGTATTTTTCATTTTTTTTTTGTATTTTTATATATTTTTCATGTTGTCTGTTATCAAGTCAACACTAAAGAACGCATTTATTAGCAAAATCTCTCCAATGTTAACTGATTGGGAATTACCAGATATACTATATACTTAGATATACTATCACCTAAAAATATATTATAAAAATTGATAACATAGGGCTTAGATAATGATAAATAAGATTTATATATTTTCAGTACCTTCAAATTTTGAATATTTTGAGAAAAATAGGGTAACTGTCCCAATTACTGCCAGTGTCCTAATTACTGCTGCTTTTTTAAATTGTAGTATGAAAGTATGAGATCATTATACATTAAAAATATTATTAATGTTAAACTACGACTGTTATGTAAATATAAGCACAATTGTACGAGATATTCGATGTTTTATATCTGTAAAATAGTTAAAGAAGTTAGGAATGTCACTGAAGATGCAAACTTCATGTTCTAATTAGAAGTGAAGCAAAACTGCATGACTTGAAAGTGCAAGTATACGTGGTTAATCCCTGGTGAAAAAATTTTGCTGAAATTTCATTGAAAGTGAATTTTTTAGCTAAAATACTAAAAAATTGCTGAAATTAAACTGAAATTTCTATGAAATTTTGCAAACAATGAATTTTTCAACAAAAAATCGCTGAAATTAATCTGAAACTTTATTGAAAAGTGTTCCAAAGCATGGAATAATTTCAATGAAATTGTTCCACCAGGATTTATTGAAATTAAGGCACTATAATACGAGTATTCGCATCCGCCATTTTTAGTCCTTTTCTCACTCTCTCTCCCCCCACTCTGCCGCTAAACTAAGAAGATTGAAGAGAGAACAAAGAGTGGGGAAGGGACTAGAAATGGCGCATGCGAATACCTACATTATAGTGCTCTAATACTCTAATTGAAATAACAGCGTTAGTAACAATTATTTAAGGTTTGTCTGCATTACTGCCGGCAGTAAATTAGTCCTGTTATGCGTGAACATATGTACCAATGCGTTAATTACTGCCAATTTGAACGTCTTTAACTAAAGAAGGTAGGTAGGTAGTTTTAATATAGAACGATATGGTAAATATTATTAACAAACATCACTAAATAATGATATTTTAAAGATATTTTTATCGAGATTTCCAGAATGATTTTGATAGTGTGTAGTAAATGGATGGCAGTATTAGATACATACGGCAGTAATTGAAGATGCAGTATTTGAATAAAGACTGGCAGTAATATGTGTTCAATACCTTATATCTTATTTCTTTCACTTTTATTTCTATATTTAAATAATTAAGTTTTCGAGCTTGTTGCTTTTATTTTGTACATATTAAAGTTTTTACTTGAACATAAAAAAATGATATCTATTATCTCAAAAACATCAAAATAAGCATATCAATTACCATTGTGTTTAAAGCGATAGTAATCGGAACAGTTATCCTATGAGTGAAATGTTTTTCCTCATGTTCGATTAACGCAACATAATGTAACGTTCATGTTTTTGATTCATGATTTCAAATTTTCAAAGCTGTGCCATTCACATGATAGGGAGCACTGCTTTAAATTAGCTAGTAATCAATTTATACGAACACATTTTATCATAAATAAAAATTTCAAAAAGATTCATATTTTACGAAAAGTCAACTGAATCATCCAAATTTTGTTTTTACTGGATGTTTGCACAATTTCTTTTTACTTCATAAACATGAATTATGTACGGAACTACAGAAAGATAATTGCACATTTTATAAAGAATATCAATCAATTACTCAAAAATAATATCGTTCTTAAATGATAGAACGAAAGCCATCAAAACTTATTTGTTGGTACTCGCATAACAGATATTAAAGTCTAGGTTATACGTATTGATAATACTTAAAAATAATAAGCAAATGTACTTATACATATATTACGGAGAACAACGCGGTGATACCCAATCTGCCACAATTAACATTGAGATATATCGATAATAAATTTTCTCTAAAATTTGACAGTTCATTGCCGTGATGTTAGTTGTTCAGTACGACTACAGATTCCGTCAAATTCTTTCACGTGGGAAGCTTTGTCAGCAACTTTATGCTCTTATAGGAGTTATTAACATTGTGTTCAAGAGAATGAATCGATATACCCATTGAAAGCCTTTTATGTACGCGTTCTACGTATTCGCGACTATAATTTTTTTTTGTTTTCTCATCAAGCCTCTTTAATTTAACGCCGAAGTTTTTCCGCACTAGAGATAATCGTTTGATATAAATGTGGTTTTCGAAACTTATACATTTCCCAATTTGCAACTAATAAGAAAAGCCAAATTATATATGTATAGTAAAACTTAAAATATAAAAGAAAAATGTGCCGTTTCCCAGAATTTTCCAATTGTCCTTTTCAGAATTTTACCTTAGACTTGGTAGTACCTGTAATAAAATATAACAAAATACAAATAATTACATCTGAAATCATATACTAAATTCATGAGAAAGCGAGGAGAAAGTCGTTACAGTAAACGAAAAATGAATTGATTAAATAATCAAATAGTAGAAAAAAAATTGTAGAGCTGAGAAACTTCAGTATCTTTTCTCTCGAATCAATACCTGCGCGTTAAATTTGAGAGGCAGAACTGCTTGCCGATTACTCGATGGCATAGAGCATGTAGAGATTGCCAGCGTCACTGCCTGGTGGTACCAAGGCATGAGTTGGCGGCAGGACCGTGAAACCCAAGAACATGAAGGTACGAACCAGCATTGCTAGACCATAACAACAGAACGATTTAGACGGTGAGTCTTTCTCATCAACGCAAAAGTCTTCGACGTTTGTGCCGAAGAATGGCAAGCGACAAGTACCTCGGTCTGATCTATCTTTGCGAAGGCAAACAATGATATTGGTGCAGCGTAGTGTTTCTTCGGCATATTCTAGGAGCGAAACAAAGCCTTCTTTTGATCCTTCAGGCAGAAGGCAGCTGGGTACGCGAATGTATAGACAGCGGCGCCATGCTACGGTCTCCCACTCGACGGATGTACTCTCAGTCAAGTGGAGAGTGAACGTTAGACGCAATGGTTCGTTGCTTCTTATGGCTTTCAACAATTCATCCTCCTGTAAGTTGTAACAAAAAAATGCGACCAATCAGAATTTAGCTCTCGTTCAATGCACGTTATTTCACATTTGAAATCGTAAATAAACCGATTTTTGAAGATGTCTTTAAATATAAAAAGTACGTACTTGTACAATGTGGGAGCTCACAGAGAGCTGACTCTGCTTGATCCCCACGCCGCGGCTCTCTGTGTTGACTGTAGATACAGACAATGCGGCATGGGGCACATCAGGACCACCACAGAGGCCCCACGCCCAGCGTTATACAGTAGTGCTGTTGCAGCCTGGAGCCTTCCTCTAGGCTCTCATCCATGCATTTACTAGACATTTCACTGCAATGTACATTTTAATTATTAGAACCAAATTCTATATCTTGTAACACAATCAAGTACATCAAAATACATTAACCCTCAACTACAGCTGTGAAAACTATAACATCTAAATTTTAAAGCTTGTTTCAATTTTGAAAACAGAATGCAAATGAATTTACGTTTTACGACGATTAATAGAGGAAGATTCAAAGTTTTTTTACTTACACATTGCAATTTAAAACTTTATAGTATCAATCGTACAGATTATACAATCGTCTACAAATTTCGCTTCAGATTCAAATGACCCGTTGCTGCAGTCGAAGGTTAAAAAAATTGACTTATTTTTAAATAAATAACAATACAATCTGTTTAGAATTGTTATTGGTATGCAAGGATATACGCAAGCATGATTGAGGATTACGATAAAGGAAAAAAGATAAATCATTAAAATATCAATACGCAAAATACTTGTTTTTTTTTTTTCCAGTGAATATATGAACGTCCGGTTGACGTCACGAGGTGTTGTTCTTTAAAGAGCAGCTGACGTATTCGGGATATAAACACAGTGGGTACTGCCAAGACTCTTGAAATTCTTAACATATGGAATGCTTATGTAATTTCAGGATGCATATATAACTCTTCTCCAGGCCAAGGATAATCGGTTTATCACAGGGGGCTAGATATACTACCGCGAATCAAGGCATTTAATCTTATTAAATGTTTATTAATAACTGGTGATTGAAATACAATTACAGTGGCTGTCATCGTCGGCGAATGTCATTGATAATACGCCGTTTCTGCCAGAATGTCACGAGAATGTACGGGAAAAAAAAGCAGAAAAGACATGTCTACCTTGGCATTTGAGTGGAAATTTCAGCGGGATATAGCGAGCGGTAGAGAGTTTTCACCGATGGTGATATGACGTCCCGTCGAGTCGCGTCTACCGCGGCGAAGCAGTGCGGAAAAAACCGGAGCGGAATCCACGGTTAAAGGGAAAATGCGCGACTGCCACAGCAGGCAGCCGAGGTATGCGATTTATATGGTACACGCGTCAGGACCTGAGCACAAAGATGGCTGTAACTAAGTGATGAAACGTGAGTCGTAGTTATAGGTCAACATAATATTTGGCATGACTATGTATGCCGCATAATATACGGCACATAGTTATGCCAAACATGTGTTGATCTACGACTCACTTTTCACAACTCAATCAGGCTAATTATCAGTTACAGTCGTCTTTGGGCTCAGGTCTTTACTGAGTATCGTCGGACTGGGAATCGTATTATCGACGTCATTTAAACGGGCGTTCCGCCAAACAATAATGCGTGTTTTGCGCGTTGCGGAGAGAGAGAATTATATGTGATCGGTCGGTTCGCTTACATCTATAACGTTTTTGGCTGAATAATTCACGCGGGTTAAATATTCTATTCTACAGTTTTGCCTCGCGCCTTGACATTAGGAAATATCAGACTTACGTAAAGTGTAAATGTGTACCCGCAACACTTTGTAAAAGAGATTAAATTATGTGACGCGCAATTTTTATAAATAATTTGCTGCGCTTGCGTATATATGTATGCGTGCATGTTGCAGCAATTAAGGTAAATAGACCTTTTAAAAGTAATAATATTAATAAGGATCTATAGTTCATTACATATTAGTCATTATATATTAGCATATTGCCTCGAGCAATAATAGCATAACAATATTACGCGATCAATAATCGCATCTTGCATTTTGAATAACAGTGATTCCCGCGATATAAATTATCAAAAAAGATATTTTGATATATTATGATATTTCCTTATGTTAATATTTAGAAAATTATACACGGAAAGAACAATTTGCTAAAGAATTAAAAAATTAAAACAGATCTGAAAATAATTTTGTTGGATCGTTAAAATTATTAGGTGGGACATTTAAACCGATTGCTAGAATATCAAAACTTTTGGCAGCATTGCTTATCATGCTCGAAATTCCTACATAATTATTTTGAACTGTTCAACTTTTTAAAAGGAACCTAGAACTCTGATCAGAACTCTCCGGAACTATAGATCCGGTGCTAACTTCACACACCCATTATTTTGATGGTTCAACAAAATTATATGTCTTTTCAGATCTATATTCAACCAAATTTTTAGATTCTTCAGCAAAATTATTTTTGCTGAAGAATGTGTGTATTGTTATGACTGCAATCACGGTATTATGCGAGATTACAATTAAAGTGGATTGTGAAAAATCCATAATGACTGATAATGTTCTTGACAGTATCAATCATACTTAGATTTGATTAACGAACGAGGATTTCCCTAAGTATTAATATCTCCAGTATATAATTTTAATAATTTGTAAAATTATAAACAACAAAAATCAAGCGTGTTTTACGATATCCCGCATGAACTCCAATTTAAAAAATGACATAATAAGTAATTTTCATACAGCCCTCAATTATATGGAAGTCTCAAGAAAAATCGAAGATATGATTAAAAGCGATTTCCAAGTTCAAATGTTATCGATACGGAATGTGATAATAGGTCATCTATTTACGTTCAAATGTTTAATATAGTCTGATAATATTCCTCATCCGCTGCGATAGTCAGAATGTAATAAAAAACGCGTTGGTTTCTTCGATATCTATTCAGAGAAAAAAAAATGATACACCCTCGTATACAAAGCGTCTACAATGAAATTTTAAGACGTACAACTTAAGCTTTGAGGAACTGATCAATCACAGTCGAATGTGAGGAGAATAATCGACTGTGATTGGTAAATTTCTTATGGCTTAAGGCTTAAAGACTAAGTTTTCTTATTGTAGATGCCGCTTAAGAACACACAAGCGAAACCAGAATAATTCTAGAATAATTCGTCTTCGTGCTCCGCAACTCTTCATGTAATAACGACCTTGCAAGTTCCTGCACGAGCCTCGTTCGCGTTTTATTAATCGTTCTGGAAGCTTCTCGGAACCAATTGACAAATTTAATTAGAAACGTACACGCCTGCAACATATCATCCAATTGTACTCTTCCACGGGGACAAAATGTTTTGAATGTGATGACATTATCACTCGCAATCAGCCGTTTAGCGTAACGACTCATCTTAAAGAGGATGAGGAGTCGTAGGAGCGAAGAAACTTTACGACGTTATTCAAAAATGTTTGCATCCGTATTTATTAGCACATTCTTTCAAACTGATTAATTTGAAAAAATGAACTTAGGATCCAAGAATTAATCACTAAAGATAACATTAAAAATAACTACATATTTATTTTAACATAATAAATCGAAATTTAATTGTAAATACAAAAGCTAAGAAAACAACATGGATGAAAATATCTTAAAGTTTCATGTGGCATGTTGTTTGTTGCTCAGTACATACGTGTCATTGCAAAAACGAGAAATGATTCGTCCTTTAATTACAGGCTATATAATACTAAGTACAATCTAATTCGCTGACTAATGAGATTATATAAGGAATATAAGGCAATAGCCGTGGTATTAATGCAATTATGTACGCAGAAGCTGGTAATGTGTTACAATTATCAGTACTTTTTCTTATCACGTAAAAAATGATGATAATGCAGCCGAAAATAGATGACGATACTTCGAGTACGTGCGATCGATTCTCAAAGACCTGTATTTAAAAATGCAAAATGTGACAAATATCACGAAAAACTTCTAAATTTTTAATAATATTTAATAATTTTTCCATAAGAAATTTCCAAAGAAATAAATAAGAATGGCTTAGCCGAATATTTTCAAATTTATTAAATTCATTTCTTTATCTTATTTTTATTACATAAATTTACTCTCTTTAAATCGTTGAAGAGCCTTTTAAGACAAAGGCGCGAAAGAACGATTTTGCTGAATTATCTAAAAATTTAGCTAGATATAAAAATTGGAAAATAATTTTGTTTGAACTAAAATAATTACTTAAGACTTAAATTGGTTACTGGAATGTTAGAACCTTTTACGATAACTTTTATCATTTTTTTGTCGTCTAAACGTTTTGTATAATTATTTCGATGACTCAACAAAGTTATTTGCAAATATTCAGCTAAAATTTCAGATACTTCGACAAAATTGTTCACTAAAAAGTTTCTAATTGAAAACCAACAAAGGAGAAAATTCTGATCATATCAATCAGAATTCTAATTATCTCAATTAGAATTATAATAGATTCAACCAGAAAATTCTAATTTGTTCATATCATCAACCAGAATTTCAATTAATGCAACCAGACTCTTTTTCCAATGTTCTTTCCGTACAAAAAACATAGTAATAATTCGTTTTAGAAAGCTACGAGAGAACTTTATCCATTGTTCGTGTTTCACCGTGATATGACGGGTATGATTTCGCAGTGAGAATCACGTACGCGCGTTACTATCACCTTTGAGAAATATGATCGAACAAAACAACTCACGTTCGAGCTCGTCTCTTTATTTCAACGTTATCATTTGATTTAGGACAATTGTCAGTAAATTCGAACGCTCTCCCAGTTGGCAGAAATCACGTTTGGCTCACATAAGATTTAACTGTGAGATAAAGCGACATTGCTGGCCGTATATCGATTGGCCGAGGCACGAGGCAACCTGACGTTATAAAAGAAAGCACAAAGCCAATGTCGCTGTTCTAACGGCGCATTGCCCGTTTTACGCAAAGTTGAACGTTGAACGTGATCGTAAAGAGAGTGAATCATAGATATCGACCCCCTCGTTATTTTCCTTATTAACGATACAGATTCTCCTTATCTCGAATAATTATTCGAAATATTTTTTTTTTTCAAGTGATTATAAACGTTTTTATAGTTTTATTTCGAAATTTTTAAGATATACCTTCTTACATTTTATATAACATTCGAATATCGCACTCTCTAAATTATTTCATGTACGGAATACTCGCTTTAGTCTGGAACACGAACAAAGCTACTTGAAAAATTCAAACCCGGATGCAACTG